CAGCCCCACGGTGGCAACGTACCCGTCCTGGTGGCGTGGCCCAGTCGCGGCCCGATGATGGTAGCGGCCGCGTCGGCGTCGGCGGAGGCCCAGAGAGGCCCAGAGAGGCGACAGTTACGGCGGCAGCGGCTCAGCAGAGGCCCCGCAATAGGCGGCCGAGGTCCCGTCCGGCAGCGGCGCGGCTCAGCAGCAACCCGGCGGCAACAGCCCAACGGCGGCCGCGGTCCCGGCGGCCCGGCGGCGGTCCGGCCCCCACAATGGGGCGCCGGCAGCCTCGTCCAGCCCGCGGCGGCGGCCCCAGCGGCCCGGCGATGGTCCAAGGGCGGCCGAACAATAGGTACCGTATATTCCGACATATAAGACGACTGGGCGTATAAGACGACCCCCAACTTTTCCAGTTAAATATAGAGTTTGGGATATATTCACCATATAAGACTACCCCTCTTCCAACGCACACCAAATAAAAATTTAAAAAGCATCAGATTTGATTTCAATATGGTAATTTTCCTATTACTGTAACTCCTTCTCTGCCTCTCAGATCTCACACATGCACACCTGCACCACTTCACTGCAGTCTTCAGGAGAGAGATCTGAGAGGCAGAGGAGGAAGTATGGTAATAGGATACAAGGGCGGGCCAGACAAGTCTTTGTCCGGGCCTCAAGCCACTCTATCTTTTTTTCCATAACCCGGACACCTGCAGCTTGCTCCACCCTTCACTTACATCTTCCCAGTGAGGCGCACCTTCACCTCACCATAGGGACCACATTAAGTCCATGAATCCTGATGAATGGATTTTCTTCTACCGTACTTGTACAGTGTCACCCTTACTGCTTTCATACAGTCACTGCATACAGCGACTGCATACTACGCGGCCACTGCCATTTTTGAGTTCCCCCCACAATATGCAGCAACCACAGATTCTCCAATCCGGATTGGAAGTTTCAGCACCCGCTCTATAAGACTACTCCCACCACGTATAAGACTGCTCCCGTGTATAAGACTACTCCCGCGTGTAAGACGGTCCTGTGTATAAGACGACCTCTGACTTTTGAGAAGATTTTCTTGGGTTAAAAAGTAGTCTTATACGCCAGAATATATGGTGATTGCACGGAAATAGTTATGTGATAAAAAGTGAAGATTAAGACTGAACACCTTGTGACTGATGCAGAACACTTTCTTAAATTGAAGATTCTTTTGAACAGTTATGAGCTGAAAATGTTTCCCTGATTACTCTTCTATCACTCCACTTTTTTTCAGCTTCCTTTAAAATATCTCTTTTCCTCTCATTTCCCCATTTCATCTTTGGTTTATGTTAATTGCTGCAGTTGTGTGCACTCAACTCAGCAGAAGGAGGGAGATGGAAAGAAGAAGATAAAGGGAATCATGCTCTTCCTGGAAGGTTCAGGCAAAAGGAACTTCATTAATAAATGTTGCCATTTTGACCAAATTAAGATGTTACTTGCCTACATGTGTCCTGGTTTTCATTTGTCCCAGAACACCAAGAAACCAAATTATGGGTGAAAGAAATAACTTTCCACCCCAGAACCTCTGCTTCAGATAATAATAATAATAATAATAATAATAATAATAATAATAATAATAATAAACAACGATGGATCGCATACTCAGCTGCTGCAAGAAAATCCCACAAGCAGACTATAAACAGAGGCATAATATTGCTGCTCAGATGATCCATTGTAACTTGTGCCACAAATACTATCTGCCTATGACAAAAAAAAAACTAGTGGGATAACAAGCCTGAAAAAGTTATACAAAATGAACACATCAAACTACTTTGAGACATCCAAATTCACATTGACAGAGATTTGGAGCACAATATTCCTAACCTCACAATCGTGGGAAAAAAACAATCAATGTTGCAATCCCAGGTGAGAGCAGAATTGATTAGGAGCAACTGGAATAGTTTACACAATATGAGGACTTAAAGATAGACTTGCCAAGATTCCTGCAGAAGTCAGTAAAGGTGGTCTCAGTTGTGATCAGCACTCTGGGTGCAGTGCCTAAAGACCTTGGCCTGCACTTTAAAACAATAGGCGCTGACAAAATTACCATCTGCCAGCTGCAAAAGGCCACCCTACTGGGATCTGAACGTATTATTCATTGATACATCACATAGTCCTAGACACTTGGGAAGTGTCTGACGTGTGACCCAATTCAACAGTCAGCATAGTTATCTTGTTAGATGTATATTACTCTTGTTGTGTATCAAATAATAATAATAATAATAATAATAATAATAATAATAATAATAATAGGAATAGTTACCTGCCTCTCTTTACAGCTGAAGACAAAGAACAATATAGTTAGAACACAGAGATAAATCCCATTACCATTAAAATACATATATTAAAATATGTAAAACAAATATTGACATACCAATATTCATAAAATGTAATAAGCATGAGAAGAGCTTTTACAGTGCACAGGAGATTTCGGATGCATCAAATGAAAGGAGCAGCACCTAAATCTTGGTTCCTGGGGCCCCAGTTAATGGCTTTCCCTGAGTTTAGTGGTTACATGAAGTGATGCCCCACCTTTACTGAGTAATATAAAGCATCCTCTCTGGCTCACCTTGTCTGGAGTTGTTTTCTCACCCTTGGAAAAGAACAGACCATCACTGACATATTCATAATTCCAAAGAAGAACATCTCACAACTGCACTTGGAAGGAATCAGATGCAATTAAGAAAAGGTAAGGCCCTGATACATACATTGTTTTATGTTGCCACTTCCATCTATAGCTTTCTCCACATTCCTTCAGTAATGTTCGTTGATCTGATACAGTCTTTGGTCTTCATCACACTAGAGCATCTATCCACTTTAGACGGGGGAAATCAGGGCATCAACATCCCTCCTTGCCTTCAAGAGGAAGGTAAAGACGTGGTTGTAGGACCAGGCCTTTGGGCATCCTGACAATTAGATATGGAAACCAGATGGATAGGACCAACAATTTGTGGAAATCGGAACTTAAACTATGAGACTGTGAAACGCTGACCATCAATGAGGTTTGTACTGATTTTATTGCTTTTATTGCTTTTATTGGTTTTATGGTTGTTTTTACCGATAATAATTATTGTTTTCTGTTAATTGTTATTGCTAAAATTGCTGTTTGTTAACTGTTGTTATCGTCCTTTGCTGTTATGTAATGCGGGCATCGAATTGTGCCTGCTTGTGTAAGCCGCCCTGAGTCACCCCCGGGGTGAGAAGGGCGGAGTAGAAGCAACTGAAATAATAAATAAATAAATAAATAAATAAATAAATAAATAAATAGATGCTCTAGTGTGAGATTAATATCCATTACAATTATTTGTACAAATAAAATGAAAATTTAAATTTATAGGTTAAAATTGACAAGGTAGGCCTGCCAGTTCTTTGTCACAGGCAGATGGTATTTGTGTTGTGTATATTGTATTTATTATTATTTGAAACACAACAAGATGAGTCCACAGTGGACAAGATCACTATGCTGGCTGTTGTATTGAATCACACGTCAGACACTTCCCAAGTTTCTAGGACTATGTGATGTATCGGCAAATACATCACATATGCAGATCCCAGTAGGGTGGCCTTTTTGCTGCTGTTAGATGGTAATTTTGTCAGCGCCAATTGTGTTTAAGTGCAGACCAAGGTTTTTAGGCACTGCACCCAGTCTTCTAATCACCACTGGGACTACCTTTTCTGGCTTATGCCAGAGTCTTTGCAGTTCGATCTTTAAATCCTCATGTCAGTTTTTCCAGTTGTTTCTCTTCAATCGTGCTGTCGCCTGGAATTGCAAAATTGATGATCCATACTTGGTTTTTTAACACGATTGTGAGATCAGGAGTATTGTCCTCCAAAAGTCTGTCAGTCTGAATTCATCCTAGCGTGGGACTCAAAGCAGTTTCCAACATAATTATGGCAAAATACCTCACATACAGAATAATGTACAATACAATTATCAATTAAATCATAAAACATGACATCATTTAACATTAAAATATGGAATTAAAAAACATATCTATATAAACATTAAACATTAATGCTTGTACTAGAAAAGGCAATCCTCTAGGTAACAGAGCTAAAGCATGTAGTGTTTTGGAGGTAATAACCAACACTTTGTACTTTGCCTAAAAATATTTGGCAGCCAGTGCAGTGATTTTAGTAAAGGTGCAATATGATCTATTCTAGGTATTCCTTTAGCCAGTCTGGCTGCCATGTTTTGAACTAATTGATGTTTCCAAACATGGCACAGAGGTAGACCAATGAACAGCACATTGCAGAAGTATTACCTTGAAGTGACTAGCAAATTTTTAGCTCTTCCATTTTTGTGGAGGAATATATCAGATGAAGACAAAGACAAAAGACATGCCAGACAAATACAAAGGGAATTTCATGCAATCCCAAAGGAATCTGAAATATCCCTGGGGATTCTGACAGAAATGCCTTAAGATATTCTGGATGGGGAGGCACTCCCTTAAAAAGTTGGAGAAAAATATATCTGGAAGCTGTGGTTTATATTTTGAAATGCAGAGGACTCAACCATTTCACACTGTTTGGTTCTATAAGTTCCATGGGCTCCCTGATATTTGAAAACTATGTTGTGAAACAAAGGTGGAAACTGCTAGGGATTGCTGAGTTATTTCATCATATACTTAACCCCCTGAATCAGAATACTCACACATTTAAAAATTTAAAACATATTGGCACTAAAATAGAATTAAACATAGGACTGTTAAAAATACATAGTGAAAACAGATGAAACCATCAAAAACTTCTTGAACTACTTAAAATACAGCATCCCCTGGTTTGGTCTTTAAAACTTTCCTCTCCAAATGCCTCCCTGAATAAAAAAGATCTTAACCTGCTGCTAGAAGGACAGCAGGGAAGAGGCCGTTCTGACTTCGCTGAGAAGAAAATGATTCATTATTCTGCAGAAAGGTTGGAAAGTAATTCTTCCCTTCTCTTCTCTTGTAGGAGTATCTACTCCAGAAAGAACTCCAATGATGACCAATTTCAGCCAATTTGTGATCTCGTCTTTCAATGCTACAATGGGATACAATTCAACTGAAAATCCTGGGAAATCTAATAGGTCCCGAAATTATGTCAAGGTCTATTATAGCATAATTGTACTCATCGTCAGTCTTATTAGCTTTTCTGGACTTGTAGGGAATGGAAGGGTCATTTGGCTTCTTGGGTTCCACATTAAGAAGAATCCCTTCACCACCTACATTTTGAGTCTCTCCATTGCTGACTTTGGTGTGCTCACAGTCCAAGTTCCGCTTTATATTTTGATTGTTATATATTTCTTTGAGGGTATTACTCGTGATTTCCTTTTTCATTGGGGGTTCCTGTTACTATCCATCCTTCTACCCACATTCACTGCTAGTCAGCTCCTGCTGACAGTCATTAGCATTGACCGCTGTGTATGCATCTTCTTCCCACTCTGGCATCGATGCCATCGTCCAACGCATTTGTCCACTGCTGTATGTGTCGTGATATGGATCATCACTTTTTTAATCTTTGCTACAGATATCACCCTGAAAGTCTCTATTAACTATTCTAAATTACTGTCCATTCTGTTCGCCTTCAATGCTGTGCTTTTCATGCCCATCATGTGTGTCGCCACTACAGTCATATTAATTAAAATCTGCTTAAGCTCACAACTAAAGAAGAAGGGCAAGCTGATAAGAGCTACCTTATTTACACTTGTATTCTTCATCCTCTTTGCTTTCCCTATTAATGCCTTTTATATTTTTAATTTTTTTAAATTACAATATCGTGAATTTTCTATATATGTATATATATGTTTTACTCTAAACAGCACCATTAACCCCATAATCTATTATTTTGTAGGAAGAGGGAAAAGAGGGAAATTCTGCAAGGGCATAAATAAAGTGCTTGAGAAACTCTTCAAGGAGGAGGAAGACTATAGGGAACAATAGGAAACTCCAACTGAGATAGAATTATAGGAATCTTCTGACACTTAAGTTAATATTTTTTTAAATGTATTAGGGAGAAAAACTCTTTTATACTCCAATGCATTTGAAAATTCTGTTTTATCTGAAAAAACCGAAGGAAAACATATTATAGATTTAATACATGCATCTGGTCATCCATGTACATCAATATCTGCCCTTGCACCTGTCTTCATTCCATGAATTTGATGTAGTATTATGTAGAATTCATATCACTTGAATATAATGAAATAATGGGAGTTATCGTTTCACGAGATCTTCAGCCTTCTCTGCCAAGAGTGATGCAGCCTCCCCAAACTCCAGCTCCCAAAATTTCATAGAATAGGGCCAAGGCAGTTAAAATGGTGCTGAACTGCGTTATTTCTAGAGTGTAGGGCCGGGCTTTAGCACAGCAGGTTAAACCACTAGCTGCAGTAAATCTTGGCAATCAGAAGAGCATGTCAGGGTGAGCTCCTGGCCCAGCTTCTGCCTACCTAGCAGTTCAAAAGCAAAATGGAGTAGATAAATAGGTACTGCTTAAAAGCGGGAGGTATTTAAGGTACCCAAAAGGAAATGTCAGAAAAATGCTGGCAATTCAGTAAAAGAGGAAGTTTATGAACAAAGCTCTTCGGCAGGGAAATGGAGCGACAACACCCCCTGTGTCTGGAACTCAACACAAGCCTTGAAGATGCTGAAGATGGGGAAAAACCTATATATACCTCTATCAATGTACAAATGTCTGTCTTGTCAGTGTATACATGACATTGAATGTTTGCCACATATGTATGTTCTGTGATCTGTCCTGAGTCCCCTTTGGGGTGAGAAGGGCAGAATATAAATACTGAAAATAAATACTTAATAATAAACTTCAGTCTATGAAGGCTTATGCTACAAAAATCTTTTTCGCACAGTTAACCTGAAAATTATCACAAAGTTCCTTTGCATATAGATTCTATTATAGATAATGTATAGACAATATTATTTCCTTTCAAAAATCACCAGAGCATATATTCTTATTTCTTTTTTGTTTAAATATATTTGTTTATTTTTAAAAAAACTTTTTATTAATACAAATAAAAAAACTCCAAAATAAACTGTCAAAAACAACTCAGAATTCTTCATAGTAATGCTGCAAACTTCCAGATGAGGAGGACTACTTTTCCGTATGTGGTGAACTTGTACAAAGATGAAAAGTTTCTAGATCAAGATGTATGTATTAATTCAAATCAATTAAAAGTGGGTTTTGCGATGTTACCAGATATGTTTCTGTGGAGCATTATGGGTTTTAAAAAACCAAGATAGAAAATAAGGTTTACTTCTGTCACATATGGCTATGATATCCTCAAATTTGGAAATAGACTGAAACACCAATGAAGGAAGAATGAACTGTCCAAATMATCAAATCAACTTGGCTTCCTTAAGGATAAGAGTAATTAAGGAAATTAAATATTTAAGGATTAAGGAAGCACAACTGACCCATATTGCAAATAAATAAATAAAAATCCACCAAAACTTTGTTGGCATAAATGTGAGGGAATTGGAGGTTTTGTTCATATGTGGTGGAATTGTGAAAATCTACCAAATATCTACAAAAAGATTAAGGAAGAGTTGGAAGAATTATTGGGGAGAAAATTTGAATTAAACAAAAAAAAKACAACTCTTTACGTAACAAATTGAAGGTAATGGGAGGAATAAAGACCAGATCGAAATTGCGAAATATATGATAGCAGCTACCAAAACAACAGCTGCCTCAGGATGGAAAGATGAAGGGAAATTGGAAGTTTAAAAATGGCTTGAATATTTATCAGAGTATATGCTCCAAGACTATATATCTGAAAGGAAAACAAAACATATTAATAACGGCCATCCAAAGGAGAATTGGAAGCTGAAGTAGAAAGAGATAATATTCATAGTGAAAGAAACAGGAAAATATAAGGAACTGAACCAAAAAAATCTTCATAATCGAACAAATAATATAAACCAATGTGCAGAGTTACATCTGTTCCCAGAGGGAAGGTGTGGGAGGAAGAGGGAGGGGGACAATGGAGTGTTCCATAGGTGGCCGTGGAGTCCTATTGTTGATCCTCATGTTCTTCCAGAGCGAGGACATCGGTTTCAAGATGGAAGGAGGCCCCGGTCAGGGTTGGCTTGACACACCTTCCTCTTGGCCCGTTTCTCCTTTTCACCCTCCATTCATGCCTCTTAAAATTCTCCAGCACTACTGGCCACAGCTGACCTCCAGTTAGAGTGATCAAGGGCCAGGGCTTCCCAGTTCTCGGTGTCTATGCCACAGTTTTTAAGGTTGGCTTTAAGACCATCTTTCAATCTATTTTCCTGTCCACCAACATTACATTTCCTGTTCTTGTGTTGGGAGTATAGTAACTGCTTTGAGAGACTGTGATCGGGCATTCAGACAACATGGCCAGTCCAGCAGAGTTGATGGCATAGGAGCATCACTTCAGTGCTGGTAGTCTGCTTCTTCCAGCACACTGACATTTGTCCACCTGTCTTCCCAAGAGATTTGCAGGATTTTTTAGATGCATCACTGATGGAATCGTTCCAGGAGTTGAGGGTGATGTCTGTAGACAGTCCACGTTTTGCAGATGTGTAGCAGGGTTGGGAGGACAATAGCTTTATAAACAAGCACCTTGTTTTCCCTATGGATTTCCCAGTCCTCAAACACACTCTGCTTCATTGTTATAAGTAATAGATGCATAGAACTGTAAAAGATAAAATGTAAAAAAAAAAAACCAATAATATATCATTGTGTATATGCAATTGTGACAATGTTACAAATTGCTTACATCTAACCAATTAAAATATACAAAAATACATGGGCATGTGTATTCACCAGCAGACAGCTCCTTTATCAGCTGTCTTTCAAAGCCAACTTCTATGAGCTGAGTCAGGTTAAATACTTGTAATGTGAAGCTTTTCTCTTTCCTGAAACAAGTTTGCTGTGGAATCATACATGGGTCTATGTTTTCCATAATTCTGTGCAGGATAAGTCTCTTCAGAACTTTATAAAAATGACAGAACAAGGAGTTTGGTCTAGAGCTTTTTGGATCTTTGCCTGGTTTCAAAATGGCTATGACTCTTACTTTCCTCCAGACTTGGGGATCTGACAGGATGCAATGCAGTTGTTCTCCACTTCGGCAGCCAGCAACTTTCTTTTGGGTAAAAGTTCTTAATGGGTTAGATAAGGAGCCCCCAGTGGCGCAGTGGGTTAAATCCTTGTGCCAGCAGGACTGAAGACCGACAGGTCGCAGGTTCGAATCCGGGGAGAGTACAGATGAGCTCCCTCTATCAGCTCCAACTCCTCATGCGGGGACATGAGAGAAGCCTCCCACAAGGATGATAAAACATCAAAAAACATCTCGGTGTCCCCTGGGCAACGTCCTTGCAGATGGCCAATTCTCTCACACCAGAAGAGACTTGCAGTTTCTCAAGTCACTCCTGACACGAAAAAAAAAAATTGGTTAGCTCATCCAGCTCAGTTGTGTTGCCAGTTTTACATTTATTGAAAGCCATTTCCAATTCAGTAGATGTAAAAGTTCATAAAGGTTGTTGTTTTCATTATCTGGTTCTCTGACTATTGGTTTCCTTCCTAGTTTTGTGACAAGGTTGCATTTCCCATTCATCAGATGTTGTTGTGCTATCTGATCTGTGAAGAATCATTGCTCAACCGTCTTAACAGCCACCATGCCTTCTGTCTACTCCTGTCCATATTGACTTCTGCTATTAGCTTTATCCACTTCTGTTTCCTGGCATCAGAGGTGGACAACAGAATGTTCTGTGTGGACTCAAGAGTTCGCTCACTAAATGGGTCTTCATCATGGAACCTGTAATAGCCTTCCAACAAAGCAGCTATATCAGGAGTAATACCCTGAAGATATTGTGTCCCACAACCTCTTGGTATAGAAGCCCATGAGCAGGTTTTTACTATTTCTATATCGTGCTCATATTCCTCATGGATTGGGGCAACCAACATAATCTTGTCATATAACATATAAGAGACCAATCCACCTTTCTGAAGGTGAATCTTTGTTTACTTCCTGAGCCCTTATAATTGGAAGCAATTGGCATATTATCGACTGGTGCTGTTTGTTTGGTATTGGTGATTCCACTGATTTATTGCATTGTTGCACAATACTGTCACTCACAAACAGAAGGTCTGGGTTATATCCTCGGTGCCACATCCCACTGTTGTAAGATGATGGGAGCTTACTATTATAAATAAATGATAGTTTATGCAATCCAGCCCAAGAAAGGACATCTTCTCCATTTTTATCCTCCTGAGCATAGCCCAATATGTGGCAATGGCTGTTGAAGTCACCAATTACTACTGCCCTTTGATGTCTATCAAAGTTCTCAGAAGAGGAGAAACAACTTTTTATTTCGGGGCTTATAAGTAGAGGTAACTGTGATGTTACTAAGCTCTACTGTTATAACCTCTATATTGTTTTCTTCAGTGTTACAGGCACTGCTGACTTGGAGGCCTGGGTTTACAAAGACAGCACTTCCATATCTAACATGTGGCCTTTCTGCTGCTCAGATCATTTCTTGAACATTTTGGTCATTTTTGTTGTTTAACACTGTGTGTTTCTTGGACACACAACGTGTCACATTTCTAATCTCAACACAGTTAATAAAGTAACTGTTCTTTGGCAGCTGACATGCCTTTGATGTTAATTTAAATTATTATCATAGTTGGTCCTGAAAAGGTCTGTTTGTTTGTTAGGTTGCTTGGTTGTATACTGCAAGTAACATCTGGTGTGAGAGAATCAGCCATCTACAAGGACTGAACAGTCCGACAGGCTACAGAAAAGAACACCTTCATACCTTGAATCTTAAAAGAAACCACACATCTCTTGGGGATTATATATGAGATTGCCTTGAGTCTTCCAATAACTATTTGAGCAGAAGCAGACACTTCAGAAAGTATCTCTGTTTAAATGCTTAGTGAATCTATGGTAGAATAATTTCATCAGATCGTGGGGAGTGATTGAAAATATGTTAGTATTGACTGTGTGTGCAATGGTGATATGACCACGAAGTAAAAGTACAGTACAGGAAATTTTTCAATGATTGGTGAAGTCAAAAACTGGCCATTGGTTTTCATAACTTTCTTTACTCTTGGACGAGAAAAGACTGCTCATTAAAGACTTCCACCATGGTAATATGTTGCCATTTCCCCCTTATATGCCTGTACTATTAGCTTAATATTAAAAATATAGCTAATGCTGAGCTACACTTTGATACACCTGATAGCACAAAGTGCAGATTTCTCTTGAGATTTGAATTGTGGGAATAACTTTTGTAGCACCCAGGAGATTTCTGATGCATCAAGTGAATGGAGCAGGGCCTTGATCTTCATTATTGGGGTTCCAGCTAATTGATTTCTTGAAAGTGTTGTTGTCATATAAAGCTGGTGCCCCACCCTTGCTGAGTAACATAAAGAACTTATCAGATACTCCTTATCTGAAGTTGTTTTCTCGCCGCTGGATGGAGAGGTTCAACCGAAAGCAGAGAACGGATTCATGGTTTATAAGGACATCTCAAGTCTATTTGTTTGCACTTGGAAGAAAACTAAAGTGATTGAGAAAAGGTAAGATAGTATGTGCATTAACTGCTTTCTTGATGCTGAGTTCTTCTTTTCATGTTGCCATTTCTATTTCCATCTTCATTCACCTCCCTTGTTGGACACAGACGAATGCTGGAATCATTGGGTTCAATATTTTGAACCCAATCTTAATCAAAACGGTGAACCAACTCTATGTCATTTCCACACATTCTCCATTCTGCTCCAACTTTCGTATCTGCTGCTTATGAAATCTGATGAGGTAAAGTGATGGGCAGCTTGGCCAATTAATCTCGTTCAGCTCCTATCCCAAAATGTCTACCTCACTCAGCACAAAATAAATTTTAAAAGGAGACAGATAATTGCTAAATTAGTTGTTGGCATTTAAAACCTAACTGAAGACCCATCCCTTCTGGCAGGTCTACCCAGTCAACTTCCAACTTCTTATTATTGCTATATGTTAATTTTGTGTATGTGTTTGATGTATGCTTTTTCTATTGATACACATATTTTATTGTATGTATTTAATTTATGCTCATGTTTTTACTTATGGTACCTCACTTCGAACTATCAAAAGAGATGGGCAATAAATAAAATGCATTATTGTTGTTGTTGTTGCTTCTGTTGTTGTTATTTGGAGCTGAAAGGACCAAGAGGGAGTCCATCTGAAGCCACATGTCTACCCTGAGACAAACCCGCACAGTTTGCCCTTGGATTTATTTTATTTTATTATCATAAATTTCCTTTCGTTTTAATACCCAAAGTGATTATATAATGTTTTGAACATTCTGAAATTTCCACTACAGATTGTTCGAAGGAAAGATTTTTCAGAATGTGCTGTGCTATTTGTTTTGTTCCATTTCATTATCATGCTTCTAGCTGATTTTAATTCAATGTCTCATCTATATAAATAAAAATGTAATGTTAGTTCGTGCTACCATCAGAACTAAAAAACCACTGGGGGAATTGACACCAAATTTGGACACAAGACACCTAACAGTCCAATTTATGTCCTCCACTCAAAAAAATTGATTTTGTCATTTGGGAATTGTCGTTGCTGGGATTTATAGTTTACCTACAATCAAAGAGCATTCTGAACTCCACCAATGATGGAATTGGGCCAAACTTAGCACACAGGGCTCCCATGACCAACAGAAAAAACTGGAAAGGTTTGGTGGACATTGACCTTGAGTTTGGGAATTGTAGTTCACCCACATCCAGAGAGCACTGTGGACTCAAACAATGATGGATCTGGACCAAACTTGGCACGAATATTCCATATGCCCAAATATGAACACAGATGGAGTTTAAGGGAAATAGACCTTGACATTTGGGAGTTGTAGTTGCTGGGATTTATAGTTCACCTACAATCAAAGAGCATTCTGAACTCCACCAATGATGGAATTGAACCAAACATGGCACACAGGACTCCCATGACCAACAGAAATACTGGAAGGGTTTGGTGGGCATTGACCTTGAGTTTGGGAGTTGTAGTTCACCTACATCCAGAGAGCACTGTGGACTCAAACAATGATGGATCTGGACCAAACTTGACACAAATATTCCATATGCCCAAATATGAACACAGATGGAGTTTGGAGGAAATAGACCTTGACATTTGGGATTTGTACTTACTGAGATTTATAGCTCACCTACAATCAAAGAGCATTCTGAACTCCACCACTGACAAAGAAACAACAAGAAATACTGTTTAGTCACAAGCATAAAGGAATTACATATATTAGAAACCAACACTTTCTCATTACTTTATTTTCCAGATCACCAGACTGGGCCACAGCAACGTGTGGCAGGGGACAGCTAGTTTCATAATTTTTTTTAAATTTTTAGTCACTTTTTATGCCATAGCTTTGACAGAGAAGACTTTGTGAAAATTACAGGTCTTATTTTCCATAGCATTTTGCAATGGGTGTCAAACGACATCCATTCTACAGTGTAGATATACCTTAAGAAAAACAAATATGAAACCAATAAAAATATGTTTAAAATGTGTAGCTGGCATCCTATCAAATGCACCATTCCCTTACCTATGTAGATGTGCATTTCTGATCATTGTTATCAGATTAATCCTGCTAATGGCTGTATAAAAAGAGTTACACAAGTTACACAACCATTTCCTCTGCAACTGTCCATTCTCAGATGGTATGTAGTTATTTCTCAGTTTTTCACTCTATCTCTTGCTTCACTGGGATTTTAGAAGGAATTATTTTACATTACCCTTTACTCAAATGGTTAATAATCAGACATATTGACAATGAGTTGCATAGTACCAGTATTCAGCAGAGTGGTATTGTAGCAACATCATCACATACTACATGTCTATAGATTTCTATGTGGAAGGATTGTGTAAGATATTGAGTATATATCATGAAAGAAAAGATAATTAAAACACTCTACCCCCTTTGAATCATCTCAGAGATTGAGATCATCTGGAGAGGCCCTGCTCTCGGTCCTGCCTCTTTTGCAGGTGCAGTTAGTGAGGACATGAGATAGGGCCTTTTCAGTGGTGACTCCTCGACTATGGAACTGTCCCCAGTGATATTAGATCAGCTCCTTCCCTCCTGACTTTCAGAAAAAGGTGAAAAAATTGCTTTGTGACCAAGCCTTCAACAACTAATACAATGCAATAGTTGACTTGGATTTACGTGTAACGATTATTGGAATAGCCCGACCTTGATTGTGGATAACGTGATTTTATAGCTGTAAGTGGTATTGCTTCTGTTTTAATTGCTTTTAACCTCATTTAAATGTTTACCTAAAATTTTAACTAAATGTTATTTAATTGTTGAATTGTTTAAGGCATTGAAATTTGCCTCTGCCGTAAGCCGCCTTGAGTCCCCTTCGGGGTCGAGAAGGGCAGGGTATAAATATAGTAAATAAATGAAGAAATAAATACTTAGCTATTTGTGGATGTTTAGGTTTTTGTGGGGGTTTTTGGTTTTTTTGCAGCTTGGCATAGACCTGATGTGAAATACAAAAGTGCCAGGAACTAGAAATAGTCCAGTGTACTCATTGTACAAGACTAAACGTTAATTGGGAAATAGAAATTTATTGCAATATTAATCATGTGACTCTGGAAATGAAACTAAATCCTCCTCTACCTCATTTGTTTTATCAATAGTGTCTTCACCAAAAGAAGAACCACAACTGAAATAAAACATGGGGTCAGTCACTTCCCTGGCTTCTGGAAATGAATACAATTCAACAAAGAATCAAACAAATCCAAGTAGATACTGTGGTTATGTTGAAGGAAACCAGGATAATAATCAAGTATTAATGTATGTAACAACCATCTTCACTTTTCTTATCTCCAGTTTTGGATTTATGGGTAATGGAATTGTCATCTGTCTCCTGGTCTTCTACATCAAGAGAAATCATTTCACCACCTACATCTTGAACCTCTCCATTGCTGATCTGGGTGTAGTCACAGGTCTACTCTCTATTAATGCATATTGGCTTGTAGGCCGGTTGCCTCATGTTGAGTATGCGGATCCACTGAAGTCAGTATTCCGCACCTTCTTCCTAGTCATGTACTGCATCAGTCAGTTTCTACTGACGGTAATCAGTATTGATAGGTGTGCATGTATCTTCTTTCCAATATGGTATCGATATCACCAACCACGAAATTTTTCCATCATTGTGTGTGTTGTAATCTGGATCCTCATCATCCCACTTTTTCCAGCACATATCAGCCTCTACTTGCGTTTAAAATACTGTGAAATCTGGTTCTATCTATTTCTCATTAATGCCGTGCTTTTCACTCCAGGCATGACTGTTACCACTGTGGCCATTTTAATTAAGGTCTGCTTCATATCACCACAGTATAAACGAGGGAAGATTTTAATTGCCATCTTGCTTGCTCTCCTCTTCTTCCTCCTCTTTGCTTTACCAATGAATATTATACAATACCTCTCTTTTAAAGACCCTAAGTTTGACCATTCCTATTTTTATGAATTTGGCTACATATGTGCAGCCATAAACAGTTCTGTCAATCCATACATTTATTTCTTTGTAGGGAGAGGAAAAGGTTGTCGAGATAGGGAAAAAATATGTAAAATACTTCAGAACATTTTCAAAGAGGAAGACAATAGTACAACAAAAAATCCCAGTTCAAACTCAAAATACAATGCTTCCACTCAAAGTGCAACAGCATCACTCTAGTTTGAATTATGCAGATGCTACTTTACCTTCCTGTATATGTAAATGTATTGAGAGAAAGTGTCTAAGATTACAACAAAAATGTGTATATAGTCAATACATTATGTATACAGACTAATATCTTTCTGAGATCCCACTCAAGCACTGGTGGAGTAGTGGCAGCATTTCTCCAGTCCCTGGCTTGTTGAAGAGTTCCCATAGAAAAAGGTCTTGGAGGAAATGTGGTTGGATATACTTGGGAGTGCCAGTTTTAATTTATTGTATCAGGAGTGAACCAAGAGTTTTGTAATGTATTTTTTAAAGAAAATACAAAGTTTAAAAACTTGGCATTCTATTAAAAGACCTTTGACTAGTAGCTGGCCACTTGGAGTGCCTCTGGTGTTGCTGTAAGAAGGTCCTCCATTGTGCATGTGACAGGGCTCAGGTTGCATTGCAGCAGGTGGTCTGTGGTTTGCTCTTCCCCATACTCGCATGTCGTGGACTCCACTTTGTGGCCCCATTTCTGAAGGTTGGCCCTGCATCTCATGGTGCCAGAGGACAGTCTGTTCAGCGATTTCCAAGTAGCCCAGTCTTCTGTGTGTCGATTGATAATTGTGAATACAAGATTTCCCCTATCTGTGGCCTCCAAAGACCCTCTGGAAGCCAGACATTGGAGAAGCAGTCTGCTTGAAGCTGATTTACTTCTTCAGATTGCATGGCTACAGGGTAATCTTGCCATAAGTGCAACTGGCTAGCATTAAAAAAATCTCACAATAGATTGTGAAACAGGACAAGAGAATAAATCAATAGAAATGAAATGCCACCTAAACATTAGGAAACACTTTGAAATATTAGGAGCTGTTTGATGGTGGTATAAACTATTTTAGAAAATGATGAACTGCATTTTAAGATTTGTCATCAAAGTTCATGGCCAGAATCACTGGGTTGTTGTAAGTTTTTTGGATTGTAAGGCCTTGTTCCAGAAGCATTTTCTCCTGACGTTTCGCCTGCATGGCCATACAGCCCGAAAAACTTACAACAACCGATTTTCAGATTTGTTTATAAAAACAAATTTGATTGGTATCTTTCAGGGGTGTTTTAATTGTAGCTCCTTCCCAAGCTAGAATTCTGTAATTTTGTGTGTAGACCTAGCTTCAGCTCTGTACAATCTCTATCATCTTAAAAACAAAACAGAAAAAAACACCTTTGCAACTTTTTCCATTTTTCTTGATAAAATTACACAGAACAGGATAGACAGGAATGGAATTGTAAATACTTATACAACACAAATATCCATCTTTAGCTTGCAATATTATCCACAGAAGTTAAGATTTTTACTGCTAAGGGTATAGGAGGAATCCCCTCCAGTGGGATGTGCTGCACCCTGGATGCAATTAGAGCTCATGAATCCACATTTGGTGCATGATTGCGAACATGCCTACAAAAATAATATGCACAAATTAAATGTTTGTATAGAAAAATCTGCATATCTCAAAAGTGTACAAAACTCTGCCTAAACACTCCCTTGACAAGATCAATTCTTTGTGTCAAATTCACAAAATAATAATTTTAGAATATTTTTGTAAAAACTCAACTGAGTTTATTCTACTCTGCTTATATGTATCTGTGTGCATTTTTACATGTGTGATGTTCTCCTTCTCCGTTGTGTTCTCACCATACTTAATGTTGATGCTATTTGACTTTGCAGGAATTAATATATGAATATTTAATGATCTGTTTAGCATGACTAAAGTCATCATGTAGATCTAATAGTTATGTGTATATGCTCTCAATAAAAGTTACATGAACAGTGCTGAATTGTAAATCATTGTCCTCTAGTTCACTGCTACACATATGTTAACAAAATGGAAATGGAAGGGGTAAAGAGAAATCAAGGAAAACAAGACCAATGTTCATGTTTCTGTTGGGAAATTGATTAGAGACAAGTATTATAAATACATACATACATACATACATACATACACACACACATACATACATACATAAATGTTTACTAGCTTGGGTACCCAGCATTGCCTGAGTTATTTAAGAAAGTCAATTTTTTACTTGTACAAAATACATAAGGTTGTGGATTAACTACAGGTTTCTCATTGTTGCCAGGTTGACAATGAGAAACTCCATCAGTACTTAAAGTTTATGTTGGGCAAGGTTGCTCTGGATATATCACCAGTGAGGTTTAGTGTGCTCTCTGGCTGTAGGGTAAACGATAACTCCCACTATGGCAAATCAGTCCCCTCAAACCCCTCCAGTAGGTTGAGTTAGTCATGGGGGTTCTGTGTGCCAATATTGGTCCAGGTCCATCATTGGTGGAGGTCACAGTTTCCCTGGTAGTTGGTGAACTACAACTCCCAGAAAAGAAGGTCAGTTCCCTCCAAACCCCTTCAGTAATCAAACTTCAGCATATTAGGTATGTATGCCAAGTTTTCTCCCGATCCATCAGTGTTTGGGTTCACAGTGCTCTCTGGATGGAGGTGAACTACAACCCTCCCCCCAAAATCAAGGTACTTTTTGCTGGTCCTGGGGGTACAATTCCATCTTTGGTGGAGTTAAGAGTGCTTATTGATTGCTGGTGTACTTCAAATCCCAGTACGTACAACTCCAAAATGTCCAGGCCAATTCCCCTCAAAACCCATCAAAATTGGGGACTATCAGGTATGCATACCAAGTTTCGTCCAGATCCATCATTGTTTGTGTTCATAGTGTGCTCTGGATGTAAGTGAACTACAACTCCTATAAATCCTTCTAAAGACCTTCAGTATTTTTTGTTGGTCGTGGGGATACTGGTGGAGTTAAGAGTTCTCTTAGATGGCAGGTAAATTTTACATCCCAGTACCTACAACTCCTATAAATCAAGGTGAATTCTCCCCAACCCTCTCAAGTATGTTCAGTTGCTGATCAATTCCCCTGTTTGTTGTGTGACATAGAAAATAATAGGAAAGGGTTATGGGAGAGACACTGGGTGGGATCATGCACATTCCCCACCAATGGGGAGAGTAAGGAACCCTGGGATGTCTCTCGTGGAAGATCAACAGAAAATCTAGGAAATTGTCCTTGTATGAAAGCCTTCATTCGGGTGGTGGGTAGCATGGTGTTTGTGGAGGACACTGGCTGGACCTTTGGACATGTTTATGGCACTCGCTATAACCTGCAATGTCATTAAAGGAAGGGCCATTAGTGTCTCCTGCATAGTGGGAGCTATAGGTATTTGTGGAAGTGGGAGCTTGTCTATGTAAGTGGACACCCCGGTCACATACACACACTTTTATTATGCGTAAATATGCTTTAAAAAGAGACAGCAGTTGCTTAACGCCTTAATATTGACATATAAGGTCATTATAACCACATTGTTTTGCAATATTGACAACCCTCAAATAAGACTATGTCCAAGCATTTCCTATTTCATGCTATCAAGTAATCAGAGGAAGTGTTCAGATTAACTTGTGAAAGGGAAAGAGGATAAGAATTCATCACTGATAAAATCAAAGTTGAGCAGCCTCCCTCTGCAAACCTTTATCTGCAAAACGAGTGTAGCTGCATCTAGTGTTCAGGTAAGATATACATTCTTCATCTTTCTTTTTTATTTATTATTTATTTACTGCATTTCTCAGCCTTTCGGTGACTCAAGGTGGTTTACAGGCAACAAGTAATATACATAATATCAAAATGCACATAAAAACATTAAATACAATATAAAACCACAACAGAAATAATAAGCAACAGCCAGGAGACAGGTGTTTTTAAAGTCTCTTCCTCAGTCCCCTTTCTCCTCTTAGCTGGCTTGAGGGGGGTGGGAGAAGCAGCAGGATTTCCTCCTTCTCCTTCTGAGGTGGCAGGCAGATGTAGTATTATTGCTGGGGTGGGGGGCTCCCAGCTGATACCTTCATCTCTCTTAACAGGTAACACCTTTGTTTTGCCTGGACTAATCTTCTATGTATGCTTCCTCATCTAGTCCATTACTCATCTCAGATGCTGGTTCTAATTTATAATTATTTTCCTTGATTATAAATGGAAAAGAAGAGAGAGAGAGAGAAATATGTTGACATCAATGTTTATATATAAGTGTATAAGGCATGGGCAAACTTCAGCCCTCCAGGTGTTTTGGACTTCAAGACCCACAATTTCTAACAACCTATTGGCTGTTAGGAATAGTGAGAGTTGAAGTCCAAAACACTGGGAGAGCTGAAGTTTGCCCATGCCTGGTGTATATGATGAAGAACAAGAAAAAATGGAGCAAGTGACAGCAAATGACTCAAAAATGTGTTCAAAAGTATTGCCACCTTTCAAAAGTTTACTTAAGGTGATGGCCCAAGAGCAATTGTCAATCCATAAGCTATTGACTGTTGATTCATGGCATGTTTCTGGGCAACAAAGACAGTTGCAGTTAATAGGCACAAACATGATGCTAGTCTTTGGCACTTTAGAAAAAAATGATCCAGTCATCCACATCAAATGATTAGAAAGCACAATTTGAAACTTTCATTCCACAACTTAATTCCAATACAAATCAGGTAAGAAGTACATGCAAACTGACTAAAAGCAAATGGACACTTTAAAAAGGGCTTTATGAAATTAGCCCTAAATCAATAACTGGAAGAAAGGGGTGGCAAAATCTCCTGTGACTGCCTTTCCTGTTATTTAATTTTTCACCCAAGCACTCCAAATAGGCTTTGAAATACCTTTGAGTAAAAGTACAGATTTCTTTTGAGTTTTCATCCGTGGTAAGCATTGCTTCCTACACAGGGGTATTTATAAAATGGAAATATTTTGCTTCCATTTTATGAGTTTCTCAAAGATCTCATTATTATGTAAGTACTTGCATCCCACCTCTGAGGAATAGAGATAGTTTACTTCTAATGCTTTCTCCCTTTCTCCTTTGCTATATTGAACAAGTTCTCCTGGAAGAAGGGAACAGACCTTGGTGTTCTTGAAGGAAAACATCTAAATTTCCCTTTCCAATGAACAGATACACCTGAAAAGAGGTAGGGTTTTCTCAATATGAAATATTTTCTTGGTGTTAAATTTTATTTTCTATTGTTATCATGTCTCTCTGTGTCTCTCTTCACATTTAACATGAACACACAATTTCTCCTGTAAAGATTTTGGTTTCCTTTTTTGCCATTCGTCTTAACCAAAATGCTGTTTTGATATGTTTACCAAAGAGCACTCTCTTTCCATAATACTGGACCCCTCTCTCACTCACTCTCTTCCTGTCATGCATGTGCATGCTTGTGTGCACTGATACACACACATATTTATGTGCTGCTGCATAAGACAGAACTGGGGGCACCAGATTAGTTCTAATATAGAATTGCTAGAGATGCTAGTTAGTATTTTTCCAGCATGGGAAACATCTCAGATTTATCCCAAACATACTGATTAAACATGCAAAAAACAGATGTAAAGAAGCAGTTATACAACCACAGTAATATTGCAAGGACACATATAACTGAGTTCCCTATAAGTGTGCCTATAAGTGTGGAGACAAACACTTGTGATGAGTGGATTGAATGAATTAAATGCTTGGGCACTTCCAAGACTGAAGACATCATCATAAAAATGAAACCTGGAAAACTGCATTATGGATAACAAAGGAAGTGAAGAATTCATTAGCTTTGGCATGTAAAGTGCTAATGAGAAAACTGTTGAACTGATAAGAACTGACCTGAGAACTCTGGGTACCAACAACACATATTTATATAGTCAAAAACAATAGCTCTTTAAAAGGTAAAGAAATTAAAAAATCTATCTGTTCCAAAACTGATGAGGCTTCAACAAAATCTGAGCTTAGTAAGGAAGGAAGTAAAACTGTATTTCTATCCTGCCCTATCTCTCCGTGGGGACTCAAGGAGGCTCGCAACATAAAAGGCAAACATTCAATGCTGTAAAATACAACAGTAAACTAAACAATTCAAATAGGCAGTACAGCACATTCGACAAAAACAAATCACATAAAACAATAATGAGCTTAATGACAGTGATTATGTAAACAACCAAAATAATGAGCAACCAAAAATCACTACATAATGAGACCCTTCTGCTTTTCAACTGAATGACAGATCTGCATGGAATGCAGTTTTTGTCCACCCATCTCTCTTCTCCAGCAGCAAGTCTGAATGGAGGTTCATGTGAATGAATGAATGTATGTGAGTGAATGCTATGTATATGTGATGTTTCTCCTTTGTCTATGTAACCAACATAGTTATTAAATGAGTTGTTGTAGGTTTTTCGGGCTATATGGCTATGGTCTAGAAGCATTCTCTCCTGACGTTTTGCCTGCATCTATGGCAAGCATCCTCAGAGGATGCTTGCCATAGATGCAGGTGAAACGTCAGGAGAGAATGCCTCTAGAACATGGCATATAGCCCAAAAAACCTACAACAGCCCAGTGATTCCGGCCATGAAAGCCTTCGACAATACATAGCTATTAAAAATCATTACTGGGTCTGTGTGTCTACTTCCTTCTCTGAAAGTGCCTGATGTACTCTGCTCCACTGAAAACAGATGAAAGAACATGTTTAAGGTTCAGAGAGTATTCATGACACACTCAGAAAGCAAAAGTTGAATCTGGGTCTCTAAAGATAAAAATAAGTTTCTTCCCTTTTTTTGAGGAAACTGCCTATTCAGTAAAAACTTTCCCTTTACCAGTTTTTCTGAATCATGACATTTACAAAAACAAATGGCTGGTATCAAGGCTTCATTAACTGAGAAGCATTGATGATCAACCATGAAATAACATGTTAGGCACAAAGTCTTGGGTTAAACAAAAGTCATTTGTTTGATCTAAAAACCTTTTCAATGTAAGTTATGCATGAAAGTATAGAGGTGGGGAGCAACCGAACTGTCTATCTGTAACCACCTCCTGAATTTCCTTTGGACAGAAACATCTGTTTCTAAAGGTTAATTCAATGTCAGCTGACCTTTTTCTGGAGAATCCTCCCTGCCAAGTTTCCCATCTGTGGTCAATCAAGTGAAAATGTTGTGTATGAAAGAAAATACTATATCTGAGGCCCGAAATGACTCATGAATTTGGAAGGGACTTAAGGGGTATGTAGACTTATCTCACACTATGCTCAAAATATGGAGATCCATCACCTATTTCAAGATGTCCCAAGAAGGGGAATGTGCCACCCCTTTCAGAATGCCTATTCTACCATTAAATAGGTCTTAGAGTTGAGAGGTTCTTCCAAATGTTGAGGTGGAATCTCTTTAGTTGTAATTTGAATCCACTGGCTCATGTTCATTGGAGTACATTACCATCATGTCACCTCTCATCTGTTGTATGCCTTTCAGTTGTTTCCAACCCATGGCAATCGTAAAGTGAATGCATCTCACTGAGGTTTCTTGGCAAGATTTTTTTCAGAGTGGAGTTGTCTTTGTCTTCTTCTGAGGTTGAGAGACCGTGAGTTGCCCAAGATCACAGACTGGGCTTCCATGACTGAGCAGGGATTCACTCTGACTCCCAGAGCCACATCCCAACACTCAGGCACCAATCAGAACATTATTTTTCATTCTAACATCTTTCCTCAGAACAGTTTTATAATTTTAGGATATGATTCCCTTCTGTATATGCTCAGAGAAAATGGAGACTTTTGCTTCCTCTTTTCAAACCTCCTTCCTTCTCTGCCAGTTACAAGCATGCATTTCAGAAAAGAGGAAGATCTTTCTTCTCAAGGCAGACTATTACATCTTCTTATTTTCTATTAGGGAACCAATTAAAATAATAAAATTAATGCATAGCCGGCAGACACTTCCATAACCTTTTGACCCTTCATACTTCTCCAGGATTTTTTTCCATGCCATTGATTCTTTGTGTTCTGTTTTACTTAGAGTTCACTCAAACATACCAGCTTGTTTTGGAAATTATAATCCAAAAGCAACATCTCCAAACTCTGAATTTCACTGTCTTCCTTCAAGGTCACTTTCATTTAGATCTACCCAAAACTTAATTTAGTGTGCATCTAACCTGTTGAATTAATAGAGTTTGACTCTACTTCAACTGTCATGGCTCAATACTATGGAATAATGGGAGCTGTAGATTTACCAGGTCTTTAGCCTTCTCTACCAAAGAGTGGTGGTCCCTCACCAGATTATAATCCCTGGATTCCATAGCACTGAGCCATGTCAGTTCAATTGATGTTAAACTATATAATCATACAGTTTAGGTGAACCTGCAGTCTTCAGAACAATATCTTCCAAGGTATTCTGCACATTCAAGGCAACTTCATAATGTTTCTTTATAAATACCACCCCACTCTGATTCAATACAGAGGTTCAATTTTTACCTATATACATGGATCATCCCTGTTTAAGGCTAATGGGAAGCATTAAGGTCCCCTTCACATTATGCATTTAGAGTATTATGATTCCACTGTAACTGACACATCCTCATCCTTTGAAATCCAGGAATTTGCAGATTAGTGAACAGCATTTAGAATTCTCAGCCCAGTGCCTCCGTGATCTACAATTCCAAGGACTAATTATAATTAAACCATAGTTATGTAATGTGAATTGGTGATAGGTGGTTCAATAACAAATATTGTATAACTCAAACATAATCTACTCTGCTTGTGTTTTAATAAATCACCTGCTACATCATCCCCAGAGCAATCTTTCCAAATATTTTCTATCTGTCTGTGAATTTTGTATACAGATCATACAATTTTGTATGGAACTCCCTTCCTGGTGAGATTAGATCAGCCCCCTCTCTCTTGTCCTTCAGAAAGATGGTTAAAACCTGGCTTTGGGGCCCAGCCTTTGGGACAGCGCAAGAGGGCAATAATATGAAACCCACTCCGCAGACCAGAGATGCCATGGTGTTTGAGATGGTTTCAAACAATTGATTTTAACGTAGATATATAGAGTGTTGTGTATATATTTTTTTTGTTATGTTAAGTTCCATCATGGAATGTTTGCCGTGTATATGTTGTGTTCTGCCCTGAGTCATCTTCGGGGTAAGAAGGGTGGAATATAAATATTTCAAATAAATAAACAAACTGCAAAACAGTATGTATTTTGTATGGGTGAATCTTTTCTCTCTTGTCTTCAATGGGTGGATGGTATTTTTGGGAGATAGCCTGATATTTCTTCCAGTACCTACCAGCATAATCAAGCATGTAGATAATACAGTGCTTCATCCCTGAATATGCAAAAAGTGTACTGCAAAAGAAACAACATGCCCAGAATCCCATTGGTGTCATAGACTGTGTAACATTGCTAGCATGGAGATTTGCACTCTTCTGTTATTAACTAAATAGATGCAGTCAGTTCATTCTTGTATAATCAACAGGTGTAAACAGTTTTGTTGCTTCAAATCATTCCTTATCCATAGGAAACCTAAGGTGTCCAATTCTGGGCACCACAATTGAAAAGAGATATTGACAAGCTGGAATGTGTCCAGAGGAGGGTGACTAAAATGATCAAGGGTCTGGAGAACAAACCCTATGAGGAGTGGCTTAAAGCGCTGGGCATGTTTAGCCTGAAAAAGAGAAGGCTGAGAGGAGACATGATAGCCATGTATAAACACGTGAGAGGAAGTCATAGAGAGAAGGGAGTGAACTTGTTTTCTGATGCCCTGGAGACTAGGACGCGGAACAATGGCTTCAAACTACAGGAAAGGAGATTCCATCTGAACATGAGGAAGAACTTCCTGACTGTGAGAGCAGTTTAGCAGTAGAACTCTCTGCCCCGGAGTGTGGTGGAGGCTCCTTCTTTGGAGGCTTTTAAACAGAGGCTGGATGGCCATCTGTCAGGGGTGATTTGAATGCAATATTCCTGCTTCTTGGCAGGGGTTGGACTGGATGGCCCATGAGGTCTCTTTCAACTCTATGATTCTATGATTCTGTTATAACCTCCCCTTTAACTGTTATATTTAGGACTCTATTTGTTCTTCTTAAAACCAACTCTGCAACCTTAAAGTCTTTCCACAAATTATACCAGTCTTACTATAGAGTGATGTAAGTCAACAACTTTGCTCAAATTTCCTGACAGTGAACATTAAAATAAAAAAAGGAGAAGGAAATTGCTCACACTTCCCAGCATAGGGAAATGCCCCTTCACCACTGCTGAAGTGAAATAGGTCTATGCCAACCTCCCATCGAAAGAGAAAGCACATTTCAGATTTGGAGGAAAGATTATGATTGAATTTCAAGTATTCTAGAAGAAGAACATCTCAAGCGATTCAACCATCTCAGACAGGAAAAAGGTAGGAGATTTTAATCATGAGATGTTTTCCTTCTTTAGACTACATTTTTCTCTTGTATCATGCTCACATCATCTTTCTTCTGAAGCATTTGGCTGAACCTCTTAGATCTCATTCTGTTCCTACCAAAACTGAAACAGAAGATTTAATGGCGTGGTTCATTTTCAACCACTATGTTCTCTTCCATTAGTCCTATTACTTTCCTCATCCTTTATTATTTAAAGAACATTTTCCCAGTGGCAAGTGTCCAATATCTGTTTGGTTAATTTTAAGCAGTAAAATCTACAGAAATGTGAAGACTGGTTAGATTACACAGATTATCCCTTTAAAGATTATTTATTCTTTGTGTAACTCAGAACTCCTCCAGATTGGTGAAAAGAAGTAAGAGGTCTTTTGATATAAATCTTTGGCACTTTTTTATTTTTTAAAGAGGAAATTATGGGGGGTTTATGTGTGTTAAATGAGTCTCCAGAGAAGCTATAGTGGGAAGAAGAGAGTTTCTTTCTTATTTATTTATTTATTTATTTATTTATTTACTTATTTATTTATTTACTTACTTTACTTATATACCACTGGTCTCAGCCCGAAGGCGACTCACAGCGGTTCACAACCAATAAGGACAGCAAAAACTCAATGCAACAGTGTAAAAACAGTTACAACTTAACACATTACACAATTAATAAACAATTACTACAATAACCGATCACTATCGTATCATCATCAAAAACATAATCCAGATTCGTCATTTCTTGAACAGCGTGAGATGTGAAACCTCAATAGAAACATCAACTCTCTATATTGCTGTGACAAATATCTCCAGAGATGGGACGTGGCCACAATGGAGGAATAATAGTAATGATAGTAATTATAATAGCAACAATAATAAGAATAATACAATTGTTACTCACCTTTCACTGAAGCTCAAGGCATGATATTATAACAAGGTCAGAGTGGTCTTAGATAACATTCAGTATCTCTAGCCTGAGTTAGATTTCTGTTATTGTCACATTCTGCTTCTCATAGCTAGTCACCTCAGCCTAAAAATAAGAAATGTCATTGTAGACCATTTAAAAGAGACATTTCAACACAATTATTTTAAAAAAATGCATTGTTTTAATGTTGGTAAAATGTCTTCATTCTGCATGGCCAAGTTGGCCCAAGCATAACTGGCAGGCAAAGCCTAAGGCATTTAAGAAGTGGGGTGAAGGCCCTCATGAGGGAGACCAGCCTTGGTGGGGGTGGTTGACAGGGGTGGAGCGGCAGGCTATTTAAGGCTGCTCTGCCCCCTTACTGTGCTCTTTGCTTCAGCATGGGGTTGGAGGCAGCTTCCTAATGGGGAATTAGGCCTTTTCCTCCTTGCTCCCTCCTCCCCTTTTCCAGATATTAGGGATTGTATTGCTATGCCTAATACAGGCCCGTAGCCAGGATTTCGTTTCGGGGGGGGGCTGAGTCTGAGTGAAAGAGGGTCTAGCCTAGCTAACCTTTTGTATCATTACCCCAATACCCCCATGCATATGGGATATATTGAGTATGGTGATCAGATCATGATATGAATAAACATAACAGTTTAAATAATGCACCAGTAAGGCCTTTTCGCGAACCACCATGAGAATTTCGGGGGGGGGGGCTGAAGCCCCTCAACCCCCCCCCCCCCCGCCGGCTACATGCCTGGCCTAATATATAGGTCATTTTCAACTCTTAAACATTTGAAAACATACATAAGAAGCACAGAAAGGCTGATTGAACTTGTACTCTTGAGTGTCCACCGAAGATTTTCAATGGAGCCTGATTTCTGTTAAAGTGTATTGACACAGTTTTCAAGTGTTTCCAACAGATGTTGTGGTATTCTTTTGTAAGTATAAATTACCAATTAACATTTTCAGTTAAGACTTAAAACTTTATAACTAAAATAACCCCCCCCCCCCATTTTTTTTTCTGGCTATGGCCCTGCAAGCCACACGACCATGCACAGACAGTTGTTTAGATAAATAATAAATGATAACAGAGAAAGAGGTGTTTTAGTAAAGACTGATATCCTTCCCATAACAGGGGAACTCAGTTGTCATTTTAGAATCAATTGGTAGAAGAGGACACTTGACATGATTTTACTCCCCTAAGTCTCATGGTAACTTGTTATGTCATCAAAAGTCCTGTTTTCACTTCCTTTGCTGGTTGAAATTTTGGTTATTAATTTTTTGTGGTCAAATTTAGAAGGGAAATAATCTTGTGGGGAAGGTTTGAGTTTTTGTTAGCTCAGCATATTGGTTCATTCCGAGTTGTCAGAGGCCTGTTAAAACCCTCCATTCAGGATGGGTGCCCTGATGACTCGGCAGCTCGCTGTGAAGCCTTTGCTCAGTTCTTTGCAGACAAAGTCACTTTGATCCGCTCTGGACTGGATACCATATTAACGGCAGTCTCTGAGGATGTAACACGAGCATCTGCTTGTCCGGTTTTGTTGGATTCATTTCAATTGGTTCAATCCGAGGATGTGGACAAGGTGCTTGGAGGAATGAGAGCTACCACATGCATCCTAGACCCCTGCCCATCCTGGCTTCTGAAGGAGGCCAGAGGGGGATTGGCCGAGTGGGTGAAGGTGGTGGTTAATGCCTCCCTTCGGGAAGGCAAAATTCCAGCCAGCTTAAAGCAAGCTGTGATAAAACCGCTGTTGAAAAAACCATCACTGGACCCCACTCAATTCGTCAACTATCGGCCTGTTTCCAATCTCCCCTTCTTGGGCAAAGTCCTGGAACATGTGGTGGCCTCACAACTCCAGGCATTCTTGGTAGACACGGATTATCTGGATCCGGCACAGTCTGGCTTTAGGCCGGGGCATGGTACCGAGACAGCCTTGGTCGCCTTAGTGGATGATCTGCGCCGGGAGCTCGACAGGGGGTGTGTGTCCCTGTTGGTGCTGCTGGACCTCTCAGCGGCCTTCGATACCGTCGACCACGGTATCCTTCTGGGACGCCTCGCGGGGATGGGTCTTGGAGGTACTGTTCTGCAGTGGCTCCGCTCATTCCTTGAGGGTCGGTCTCAGAAGGTGTTATTGGGAGACTCCTGTTCAACCCCACAACCTTTGTCTTGTGGGGTTCCTCAGGGTTCAATACTGTCTCCCATGTTGTTTAACATCTACATGAAGCCGCTGGGTGAGATCATCCGTAGTTTCGGAGTGCGATGTCATCTGTACGCAGATGATGTCCAACTCTGTCACTCCTTCCCACCTGCTACTAAGGAGGCTGTCGAGGTCCTGAACCGGTGCTTGGCCGCTGTGATGGTCTGGATGGGGGCGAACAAATTGAAATTGAATCCAGACAAGACAGAGGTACTCCTGGTCAGTCGTAAGGCTGAACAGGGTATAGGGTTACAGCCTGTGTTGGATGGGGTCGCACTCCCCCTGAAGACACAGGTTCGCAGTTTGGGTGTGATCCTGGACTCATCGCTGAGCCTGGAACCCCAGGTTTCGGCGGTGACCAGGGGAGCATTCGCACAGTTAAAACTTGTGCGCCAACTGCGACCGTACCTTGGGAAGTCTGACTTGGCCACGGTAGTCCACGCTCTGGTTACATCCCGTTTAGACTACTGCAACGCTCTCTACGTGGGGTTGCCTTTGAAGATGGCCCGGAAGCTCCAATTAGTCCAACGCTCGGCAGCCATGATACTAACAGGAGCGGAGCGCAGGGAGCACACAACTCCTCTGCTGCACCAGCTCCACTGGCTGCCGATCTGCTACCGGGCTCAATTCAAAGTGCTGGCATTGGCCTTTAAAGCCCTAAACAGTTCTGGCCCAACCTACCTATCCGAACGTATCTCGGCCTATCAGCCCACCAGGACCCTAAGATCTTCTGGGGAGGCCCTGCTCTCTATCCCGCCTGCTTCACAGGTGTGGCTGGCGGGGACGAGAGAAAGGGCCTTTTCTGTGGTGGCCCCTCGGCTTTGGAACGCCCTTCCCATGGAGGTAAGATCAGCCCCCTCGCTGATGGTGTTTCGGAAAAGACTTAAGACCTGGATGTTCAAACAGGCATTTGGCTAATTCGGTACAATGAACTGATGACTAAAGGATTGGTAATATGGACGATGAAATTGGATTATGATTTTAGTTAAGAGATGCACTGGATTATTATCGACGGGCCAATATTGTCTATTGTGTATGTTGTTTTTTATGGTTTTAAACCGAATATTGTTGTTGTTGTACTGTTGTAAACCGCGTTGAGTCGCCAATTTAGGCTGAGAAACGGCGGTATACAAGCACAGTAATAAATAAATAATAAATAATAACAAGGCCCTGTGAAAATGCAGAAGGCATACTTTTAAATACAAAAGACAACTACTTTAGGTGACTCATCTGTGCAATTCACATAGTGTTTTGTTTGATACACCATTTCACCTTATGTGTTTGACCAATATCCACACATTATTCTTTTTACAAAATCATTCAATACATGAAGCAAGAAATAATAAGGTTACTGTTAAAGCTACATCTTTTGGGTTTATCTCCATAGTAAAGACTAATTTGATCTGTCTTTTCTTCCAATAGGACTTTCTGCATCAAAAGAGACATAGTAGGAAGGATTGCCTGAAAAGACCAATTTCAGTCAGACAAATTCATCTCTTTTTGATTCTGGAAACAAGTATTGAACAATGAATGAAACTCAGCATTCAAATACAAGTACCACATGCTCTGATAAAGGGCTGGATAATGAAGTGCTTGTTTTTGCCATCTTCACTATGCTTTTTTGTGTTTTGGGGATGTTGGGGAATGGAATTGTCATCCAAGTGCTTGGCTTCTGCAAGAGGAATACTTTTGCCATTTATATCCTCAACTTGTCCTTTGCAGACTTCGGCTTGCTCACAATTGAGCTGATTATAGAAATACATTGGCTTGTGACACACTTGTACTGTGACTTTCCCTATGAATTGTTCCAGACCATCTTCCTACTGATGTACAGCGCTGGTCAGTTTCTACTGACTGTCATCAGCATTGATAGGTGCATCTCTGTCCTCTTCCCAGTTTGGTACCGATGTCACCGGCCAGGGCACTGGTTCACCACAGTGTCTGCCCTCATATGGCTCATCTCCTTTATTATGAGTGCCATTCACCTCACTCTCATTCTTAAGAAGGTATTTCGCAACACTCCCGTGATGCTCCAATTTATGGTAAATGCGGTGCTTTGCCTCCCTCTCATGACCATCTCCAGCCTGATCCTGTTCATCAAAGTCTACTTCATATCAAAACATCAAAGACGGGGAAAACTTTTACTCGCAATCCTGCTTACTCTTATGTTCTTCCTGATCCTGGCTTTTCCACTGAATGTATTTTACTTTAGCATTTATGTTGGCCCAGGAGTACACCCCAACTTTGTGCATTACGGTTACTTGTGCACATGCATAAACAGCACCATTAACCCACTGATCTATTTCATGGTCGGGAGACAAAAGATGGGCAAAATTAAGAAGACCATGAAGGAAATACTCCAGAAGGTTTTCAAGGAGGAAGAAGAGATTTCAGAAGAAATGGAGACCTCTGAATGTAAAATATAAATGTTCAAAAGGGTGAAAGTTATCATTTCTGACATTAAAACTATAGCAAGTCATTCTAGTTTATTCCAAGTCAATATAAATAGTACTGAGCTGTAATGACTGTAGCTATTTTTGGCCAATATCCATTTTGCAATTAGGATATGCATAAATATTCTGCCTTAGCTTGCATATACAATATACAGTTACCTTTGTGTGGCAGCACTGGATCCATAGACTGGCATTCTGCTACTGACACAGCCATGGGTTGTACTACACTTGCAAAGTGGTGAAGGGAAAAGACAATACACAATTATTGTGTCTAACCAATGGTGATATATGTGAAGTTGTGAATGTTTGATCTCCATGCATGTAGTAGTACATTACAATGCACATGGCAGCTTGTGAATGGGCACAGGCTTTGAACATTGCAAATGCACAATTTTTTGTCAGCTAAAACATTAATCATTGATCCATATACATTGGCATTCAGTTTAAGGACTGCATAATGTAACCCCACTGGTTGAACGTAGTATGTGTCCTAACTTCCTGTACCAAGAAGCATCTCATGTCTTTAATAGGCCATGTAGTTACTGTTGTGCCTACCATATGTTTTTGATGACATATCCCATCATCCCAAGTCTAGCAGATCCAGTAAGTCCCATCTGCTTTAGATATCAGCACTAAGCAGTGAAGTGTCAGGAGATTATGATTCATAACAGTATCTTGCCCAAACATATGTAGATGTTTCCTGAGCTTGAAGAGAGAAAGAGATATGTGTGATAACAATATCATGTTTTTATAAATTATGCAGAAAGAGTAACATTTCTCAAAGTTTGCTTGCCGAAAGATCATGTACCATTCCTCCATTATCCAGCAAAAACATTTTCTGTCCAGACAGATTTTCAGCATCTAATGTATTTGAAGCTATTTTTTTTTAATTTGGTGAGTACATTTCTATTGCCTTTTTATGTGTGTATAATTACTTTTTCATATTTATCTCTTGTATTTTTAATGTGTGGTTTCTAATATTTTAACTGTAATGCTGTAATGAGCTTTTTATTATATATAGTCATATTTTGTATATATTGTATTTTTACTATTCGCTGTCCTGAGCATTAATATGTGTAGATATGATAAATTAAATATGCATTCAAAATAATATCTGTATACATAAATGGCTAATAAAGCAACATGAGAAGATTCTTGTGAACAGTTTGCCTATGAAAACCGATTTATCAAGCTTCCCGTCAGCTTTTTTTTTTTAAGTCACCAAACTGAAGAACTCCATTTAGCCACCTGTGTGTCCATGGCTCCATTTGTTTACAGCCCTCATCAGCTGTTTTGGGATTTTAAAACATGCACATTCACTGGAGCAGTCCACACCAGGGTATACTAATGAAATCATGTTTTTCCCTTGATTGCAGGGACATACAATCACATGAAAATGCACATTTTCAGCTGAAATCAGGTTTTAAGAGCACCTTTTTAACATGTGTTTTTCATCTGTTAATCCGGATCAGTAGGCATTTTTGTGAAACGTCATTTAGCCACCAAGCCCTATTATCCCAATTTCTTCTGCATTTTAGGGTATTGTAAAGAAAGGGAAGGCCACCAGTTTGTGTAAAGAAGCATGCACCTATGTGCAGTCCTCTGCCACCACTTTAATACCTGAGATGCTCTGTGTGTTGTAAAACAAAAGCCTCTTGGCTTTGAAACACAGGCTGGAGGCTCTCTTATATGTAACAAATGTAACGAAGTTTATTCAAACACTTCAGGCTCCAAACACTTGTTATTTTTGTTGCGAACTTGAGTTACAGTCTTGTATAATATACTTGGTGCACTTTCCTTTCTCTTGACAGGATAATATTGTAACTTAAGCCACACTGGCTATAACTTATTCTCTGATTCCCCACTGTCTCTCTCTCTCAGACAGGGTTAACTTCTTCTCTTCACACACAGATTCCTAATAGGGCTGTCCAACCACGGAAAAATTTGTTTCTGAACTCGATTCGTTTTTAGGCGTTTTTTGCGTTTTGTTATTTAAAATAATTCCGAAATTTTTCTTTAAAAAAGTTCGATATTTACAAAATTAATTTCGAAACAATAACGAATCGATTCGTTAATGGCGGACACGATTGTGCAATACGCTAAAAAACCCTCCAAATGGGACAAGGGGAACTTCTGAAGCTTCCCTCTCCCTCTGTTGTTGACTGTTGATGTGATAATTTATTTTTTTATCACTGATAAAACAAACAACAACTATAAAACTTGCACCAGACATACGGAAATAATAACGAAACAATAACGAAACAATTTCGAAACAATTACGAAACAATTACGAAACAATTACAAAATAAATTTTAAAAATTTGTTTCGAAATCCAGTTGCTCCTGAATGGTTCAATATCGCTTCGTTATAAAAAAAATAACGAATTAATAACGAATTACGAAATTAACGAACGAAACCGCCCAGCCCTAATTCCTAACTGTTCTCAAACAGCTTTTCCTTAACTAACTTCACAAGCAGCCATTCTTAACTAACTCTCTAACAGAGATTCCTCACTGTCTCCCTCAGACAGTGTTTCTTAACTTCTTCTTTTAGGCAGAGATTCCCAACTCTCCTTTTCTTAAACAGGAAGTCCTAACTACTTCAATAACAGAAGTTCCTGACTTCTTTTCTCACACAGAGATCCCTCACATCTTTTCTTAACTGCTCATTTCTCCAACTCTGTTCCCCACTCTCATTTTCTAAACTCTCTACTCTAACTGCCTCTTTTTAAACTTAACTCCGCCCCTTTAGAACGTTCGGCTCTGCTCTTCCCAACTGTCTGCACTAATCTGCATAGGACCAATCGGGCTCCATATGCAAATGATCTTGTCCCTGCTGTTGCTATCCTCTCTGACTCTATTCTTCCCTATCTGCCCCCTGCAAACATAGAACTATGCATTAAAATTTCACATAGAGTAACAAATTCGCTACAGGTATGTGTAGAAGGACCCATAGAAAACCCACTTCTGAATAAATATTGCCCTGAAAACCCCATGACAGGATTGTCAAAAGTTGTAGTTGGCCTGGTGGTTTATTTATTTTATAGCATTTTTACCCCGCTCTTCTCCGGGGACTCAGAGCAGCTAACAAAAGACAACAATTCGATGCCACAATCAATAACACAGTATAAAACCATAATAAATACATACAGAGTTAAAACAATAGCAATTAATTAACCAAATTATCATAACAGTCATTAAAACAATATGCAGTCCACAAACCCACTGATAGAACAATAAAACCGTATCCTCATACATATCGTCTTGCCAGTCTATTTCCAGTCAAAGTGCTGCTTTATGTTTATTGTCCGAAAGCCTGGTCCCAAAACCAAGATTTTATTTATTTATTTATTTATTTATTTACTTTACTTTACTTTACTTCTATACCGCTGTTCTCAGCCCGGAGGCGACTCACAGCGGTTCACAGCACACAGGAAACAGCAAAATTCAATGCACCAATATAAAAAACAGTTAACAACCTAATCTAATACACAGTTAGTACACAATTACTATAATAACCATTCACTAACGTCTCATCACTAAAAAACACTAAAAAACTTAATTTCTTCCTGAACGCCAGGAGGGATGGAGTCGATCGTATTTCATTTGGAAGCGAATTCCACAGGCGGGGGGCTACAGCCAAGAAGGCCCTGTCTCTCATCCCCCCAGCCGCGTTTGCGGTGTTGGTGGGAGCGAGAGGAGGGCCTTCCCGGATGATCTTAAGTTACAAGGTGGGACGTAGAGGCAGATGCATTTTAACAACAACAAATGATTCTAGCAATACATAGTACCTATTGACTGCCTTTCCCTCTCCTCCCATTGCACTGAAATGTCTTCCTTTAGTGGTAGATGTTTTCAGTAAAATGACTATCTTGATAGCAAATAGGCAGCATGTTCCCCTTGTGATAAGCCGTTAGCAAGCCAGTTAAACACAGCTGAAGATGGGGTGGGATCCTATCATCTTGCAGAAATTTTCATAGCACATCTAAATTTTACTCAACCACATTTTCATCTCTGCAGACCTTCCCTTTACCTATTTATTCCATCACAGGAATGCTATATCACTTGTAGTCTCCCGGCCACTATCTCTGAAGATTGCTGATCCGTAGTTCCTCACAGGTAGGCTTTCTCTTAGGCACGACTTGCATGCTGGTAGAGGTGGTAGAGGTGGTATATCATAGTGTCCAGAGGAGGGCGACTAAAATGATCAAGGGCCTGGAGAACAAGCCCTATGAGGAGCGGCTTAAGAGCTGGGCATGTTTAGCCTGAAGAAGAGAAGGCTGAGAGGAGATATGATAGCCATGTATAAATATGTGGGAGGAAGTCACAGGGAGGAGGGAGCAAGCTTGTTTTCTGCTTCCCTGGAGACTAGGACATGGAACAATGGCTTCAAACTACAAGAGAGGAGATTCCATCTGAACATGAGGAAGAACTTCCTGACTGTGAGAGCGTTCAGCAGTGGAACTCTCTGCCCCGGAGTGTGGTGGAGGCTCCTTCTTTGGAAGCTTTTAAACAGAGGCTGGATGGCCATCTGTCAGGGGTGATTTGAATGCAATATTCCTGTTTCTTGGCAGGATGGGTTGGACTGGATGGCCCATGAGGTCTCTTCCAACTCTTTGATTCTATGATTCTATGAAGGAGTGTATATCTTTTTGCATGCAGATAGTTAGCAGTTCACCCTAAATTATGAGTCGCAGGGGGAAAAAAATCCTCAAAATATATCTCTCCAAATAAGCATTTCTACTTCCCTAATTTTAATTTTGACGTTCCCTTGCAGTGGTGTATAGCTGCCAAAATTCAGATAGCTGTGTATATGGGGTGGCTGTATGCCTTTAAACTTCATTTTTTAAAAGGAATTGCTAATAACATTTTATTCTTTCTGGGCAGAACTGAAGGATACTTGTGAGGACAACTGCCTCTTTTGAGAGAATCAAGACTGCCAACTTTCCTGTGTCCATCTAGCCTCCTTTCCCCCTTCCAGTAAGTGTATTTAGCAATGTAAAAGTGGGAGATGGATAAGGCCAACACATACACTACCTCTGTTTATTTATATGAAGTCTCTTGAAGGGAAAATGATATTCACATGGGCCTCTTGAATACCTAGGTTGAGCTCTAGCCATGAATGGGACAAGGATTTCTGCTGTGATAACTCCTAGCTGAAGAGACAACATTATTTTTGCACTGTTGATATTGTCGTCGTCGTTAGCTTGGTTCTCCCTAAGTAATTAGACCAGGAACAACAGCAGATTAAAATATAAGAATAAAACTACTAGTTAAAATGCACTTTAAAATAAAATTTACTTATTAAAGAGCACCAGTTCATACTTCAAAATTTATAATCTAAACTCTCATGAGAGATCAGCATCATTCTGGCAAATACCTGCTCAGAAGAATGATATCTGATAAGTTGAATTATGTAAAACTGACATTCCTAAGTACCGTAGTAAATATTGTCAAAGGCTTTCATGGCCAGAATCACTGGGATGTTGTGTGGTTTTCGGGCTGTATAACCCATGTTCTAAGCCACAGATGCTGGCAAAATATCAGGAGAAAATGCTGCTAGAACATGGCCATACAACTTGGAAACCACACAACATTCTACCTCAGGAAGCTTAATTTTGTGGTGGAGAACCTATTTGAAGGGAGCTTTGAGGCATCTTTCATGAGCAGAAAATGATATTTCTGTGGAGAAAAGTTTGTTCTCTGCACAGAAAATCTGGTTGTTCATAATTTACTTTGCAAAAAATGTCACATGAAATTGACTTGCATAGAAAGAGGTGATTTTTATACTGGAAACAGCTTTTTGCATTTCATTTTCTGCACAGAAAAAGGCTGTTTTCCGTCCAAAACACACATCAAATTTTGCACACAAAATGCTCCAAATTACACACTGTCTTCATGTTTTGCAAAGACACTCACAGTGTGAAGAACCTTGCTAAAATGAAAAATTCCTCCCTTGGCCAGTGCACAGGGCCAAGGAAACAATCTTTAGGTGGTATTTCATTACGGCTCCTTATGATGGCAGGGGTTGAGCCTAACTGTAGTCCTTTTTCCCTTCTCTTTAGCATGCATATAGAAGAAGGTACCCAGACTGAAAACCTGAGCTTCATGGCCAACAATAGTGTGGCATCTTCGCCCTCTTTGGATGATGGAGAGGAATGCTATTCATACAATCCAACTGGATTCCCAACCAGCAATATCTCAGATTATGACTTCTCTATCCTCCACTGTTCTTCAGAATGCAAAGTGACCATTAGTTTTGCTTGTCTTATCTGTAGTTTAGGGTTAGTGGGGAATGGCATGGTCATCTGGCTTCTTGGATTCTGCATGAAGAGAAATCCTTTCACGACATTTATCTTGAATTTGGCAGTTGCTGACTTTGGGGTCCTCGTATGCATAGTCATTAATTCTGTTTTTTATATTATATATTTATTTTCTAACAGAAATCAATTTTTATTTCATTTTTCTTTGTGGGCAAGATTGTTATATATGCTCTTTTTCTTCATGCACCTCACTGGGCAATTTCTATTGACAGCCATCAGTATTGATAGGTGTATGTCTGTCCTCTTTCCAGTTTGGCATAGATGCCACCGTCCAACCTATCTTTCTGCATCTGTTTCTGCCCTATTATGGGCCACTTCCTTCTTGTTCTGTCTAATTCTATTCACTGCCCCTCCAAATACTATAACAGCCATAATGCTTACTGTGACTCCCTTGCCTTGCCTCCCATTCATGGTTGTCTCTTCTATGATCATCTTCATCAAAGTTTGCTTTAAGTCACCAAAACACAAACGGGGGAAGGCCTTAATTGCCATCTTGCTTACTCTCATCTTCTTCCTCATATTTGCTTTTCCATTGACTACTTCTTTTTTCATTTTTAGCTTTTTTATTTGTTTTGTAAAATATCACAATGTAATCCAATATATTTTTCTAGGGGCCTCCCTAAACAGCAGTGTTAACCCCCTCATTTATTTCCTGGTGGGGAATAAAAAGAGAGTTTCAAGAAGAGAGAAAATGAGAAATATCCTTCAAAGGCTTTTCAAAGAGGAAGAAGGACATGGGCCAGAAATTGAATACCAAGTTTAAAGAGTTATTCAATAAGCTCATAACATACCCTGAAATCCACACTATCTTTGTTAGTGTGGTGGATAGTGCAGTCTGGGCTTCAGTCCAATCTTTAAAGGATAGGTTGGAGGAGTGGCAACTACAGTATAGACTAATGCATAAGCTGACCTCATAGATATATGCCAAGGGCAGATTTAGGGATCAATAATGGATTTTGAAAGGACCCATAGATAAATTGAAGATCATTCCACCTCTGGCTGGCAGCCCCCATTTCCCCACCAAGGTATTAAATAAGTCCAAATGTGATGCCACAGCAGAGAGAATACAAAAAGTCAGTGTTTCTTTAAGGATCTCCCAGGAGATAGATAGATAGTTTTGGGGGATTAAATTGTTGACTAAAATTTCTACTGTTATGGCAGCTCCACTGGCTGCCAATCTGCTTCTGGGCTAAATACAAAGTGCTGGTTATCACCTATAAAGCCCTTAATGGTTTGGGCCCAGATTATTTGAGAACCTGCATCCCTGTTTACAACCCCATCCAGCCACTGAAATCATTGGAGGGGGCCCTCCTCTCAGTCCCACCTCCATCCCAAGCTTAGCTGGTGGTCACAAGAGAGAGGGCCTTCTCTGTGGTTGCTCCATCTCTCTGGAACGTCTTCCCATTAAAATTAGAACAGCCCCCTCCTTCCCCTCATTCAAAAAACACCTAAAAACTCATATATGCCCCATATCTTATGGAGAGGTTGGCAAGTAATGAAACCCTCCACCTTCCCAACCAATGTCCTGTCAGGGGATAACACACTGTAGACCACTTTTACATTTCTATTTTATATTTCTAGATTCTACACTAGTACTTCTTGCTATTAGTATCCTCCCCATAGAGACTATTTTATATGTGCTTTTAAACTATGATTTATTTTATTGTGCTGTGTTTTTATGATTGCATATGGCATTGAATATCTGCCTTTGTTTTTATGATTGTATATGGCATTTAATGTTTGTTTTTGTACTTGGAAGCCACCCTGAGTCCCTTTGGGATGGGGGGGGGGCTAGAAATAAAACTGTATTATACTGTTCTTTAAAGTGTATTTTTGTGGATTAAGCTCAGCACTGTATTTTGCTCCACTAAGGCCCCCTTTACACTACCGTATGATCCAGTTCAAAGCAGATAATCTGGATTTTATATGGCAGTGTATAACAGGACTCAATTTCAGTTTCAGGAAGAGGGCAGACATGGAAAACACTAGTTGCACTCCCTTTTCCAATGGACATCAAAAGAACCCTTAGTGAGCCATTTGACCTACAAGCACGGCTGGCGGGGACGAGAGATAGGGCCTTCTCGGTGGTGGCTCCTCGGCTGTGGAACACCCTTCCCGTGGACATCAGACTGGCCCTTCTCTAATAATTTTCCGCAGGAAATTAAAACCTGGTTGTTTAAGAAGGCATTCGAACAAGAAGTGCAATGATTGGTAATGACTATAGGAACGGAATAATGGAATACGACATAGGATTGTGGTTTGGACGATGAGACGACGCGGAATGGTTTTTGTAGAAATGATGTTACTGTTTTTTGTACAATGTTGTGAATTGTTTTTATCGTGCTTTGAATATTGTTGCTTTCATGTTGTACACCGCTGTGAGTCGCCCTCGGGCTGAGAACAGCGGTCTATAAATAAAGTAAATAAATAAATAAATAAATAAAAGTGAGTGAAGAATCTGGTTAGCATCAAATTCATGAACAGGAAAGACATGAAGTAGAATAACGGGAGAGGAAAAAAGAAAAATAAACCAGGAAAAAAGGAATAAAGTCATATCCAGCATACTTGCATTCATTTGAATCACCTCCCTCACATTTTGTTTATTGAATGTCTTGCCTTTTGGATTGCACACTACGGTCTAATATTGATGTAAATTATATGGATAATGATTTCTGTAAGAAATGTTTTTTAAATAAATAAAATAAAATAAAATAATAAATGGCTATCCTTTTTATGATTTTCATTAAAGTGTCTTGAACTGGTCAGTTTAAGGTCACTTCTTAACAGCATTGAAGTTCATTGCAGGAACAGAGATATTTTCCTTGGTAGTAGGAGGAGTCAGTGTGTCTCCTCCTACTTTATTTTTTCAGTGAATATTTAATAGGGCTGGGCGGTTTCGTTCGTTAATTTCGTAATTCGTTAATAATTCGTTATTTTTTTTGATAACGAAGCGATAACAAACCATTCAGGAGCAACTAAAAAACGAAACGAATTTTTAAATCTATTTCGTAATTGTTTTGTAATTGTTTCGTTATTATTTCCGTATGTCTGGTGCAAGTTTTATAGTTGTTTCCCTCCCCTCTCCCTGGTTGCAAGCGGTCGGCATTTACCCCACTTCCGGGTCCCTGGCCTCTGCTTAAGTGGATCAAATTCTCCTCTCCTCCTGTCGTCACCTCACCTCGTTCCTCACTCTGGCCTGCGTGCATTGGGCAAAGAGACACAGCAGTGCAGCACTCAGAGACCTGCCTGTTGCCTGCCTAACCTCCTGCCTTCCTGGGCAGGGGTTAAAACTGTTATGATTATTATTATTATTGAGAAGCATTGTCAAACCAGAATAGAGATTTCACCCCTCCTCTCTCTCTCTCTTTCCCCCCTCTTTCCTTCTCCAGGTTAAAACTATTATATTTATTATTATTATTATTATTAAGAATGGATGGCCATCTTTCAGTAGTGCTTTCACTGTGCCTTACATGCACGAAGGCAGAAAGTGGTTTGATATTATTATTATTATTATTATTATTATTGAGAAGCATTGTCAAACCAGAATAGAGATTTCACCCCTCCTCTCTCTCTTTCCCCCCTCTTTCCTTCTCCGAGGTTAAAACTATTATTTAAAACTATTATTTTCACGTTGCGCAACCGCATCCGCCATTTTAACGAATTGATTCGTTAATATTAACGAAATTTCGTAAATATCAAACTTTTTAAAAGGAAAATTTCGGAATTCTTTTAAATATCGAAACGCAAAAAACCCCAAAAAACGAATCGATTTTAGAAACAAATTTTTCTGTTGTTACCCAGGCCTAATATTTAATAAATTGTGCAAATATTTTCATATTTGGGCGAGGGGGAGGGATGCATCCCCCCCCCCATATGAAATAGGAGAAACTGGAACTGGCAAAATCATCTATCAAGTTTCAAGGTTGTGTGTCTTGAGTTTCAAAGAAACTCAGATTATGATACCATTGCATTCACCCATGATAATATTGATTCAGCCATCTTTTTTTTGTCTTGATAAGTTTATTATCTTTAACTATGGTGGGCAGTTTACCTTTCTTCTGCCATGGATGTTCATGAACTATGAATCCTGATCAACAATGAATTGAAACATTTTTTTCATTTGTCCCTGCCTTTAAACCCTATGACAGTAAGATCCCACTGAATTAGTTCTTAAAAAATGGAACAACACAAAAATATATCCATTTGATTCTATTGGATTGAACCACAGGGTTCAGGTATTTACATCAGAAAGTAAAATGATGTGGCCAAGATCTCCAAAATGTATATATTGTAGGTAAAAAAATTCCCCAAGTAACATTATTAGAAAGGAAGGAGACATGTGACTGGTAAGTATCTTCTCACATTATTGCAGCCTGAAAACCCAACAAAAAGCACTGAACTATTACAGATTTCAGATAGCTATATCTGTATTCAGATGAACTGGCCAAAAAAGTCAGATATGAGTCATGTGCTCTTTACAGTTAATAACAGTAAGCCATTTTACATCTTCTTGAGAATCTGATCCAGATATCTGCTGGTAGGCTGGAGAACAATGTATTTTAAACAGTCAATGAGACTCTAAAAGTATAACTTGTTCCAGCCTGCCTTATTATACCTGTACAGAGAATAGTATAAAGACTAGGAAACTTTGTGGGATTGTTCTGAGTTATCAGATTGTTCTCTACTTCTTATAGACTTACCTATAAGAATGAATTGCAAAACATTTCAGCAGGGAAAAGAGACAGTATGCCTTTCCCCTCTCTCACTATCGGAAAAAAATGTCATTAGCTATTTTGTTTTGCATGTATTTCTGCAAAGTCCATTAGGGAAATAGTGGTTGTGTAGCATTAGATGGTACAACTTGTCTGTACACACGCCTTCAAATCTCCTGCCTAGTTATGAATTTCATAATATCCTTAGGTAAGGAATTCTTAGAGGTGATTTGGCCAGTTCTGGAGTCTAGTTTACAGCACTTGATATTTCTTGGCCATCTCCCATTCAAGCACTAACCAGGACTGACCCTGGTTAGCTTCTAAGATCAGACAGGATTTAGTGTCTTTATGGAAAAAGACTTGGCACATGGAGCAGATGCATTGAAATGTAAAGATTAGGTAGAACGGATTATAAATGTATATTTTGGTGATGCAATGTTGATAGGTGACCTCAAGATTTTCAAGATTTGGGTTAAGCCGTGGTATATACCTACATCCAAATGAGGGATATTATAATTCATGCATTTCATAGGCACCAGTACTTCACACAAATTTCTGCCAAAAGGAGGTCCCATGCTACACTGTTATTCTACTAACAGTTTTCAGTAGGACATGGTGAGCTTTGGAAGCATTGCACTAAAAATATCTCAAGTTATCCTCTAACCAAGTAAAGGCTTGTGGGTATGGTTTGAGCAGTTAGTTGGCTACTTAACTGCAAAAGAATATATTTATTTATTTAACTTGTATATTTGCATTTCTCCCAGAGTGGAAACCAAGGCAGCTCCCAGAAAAGTGCTGAATCTGACTTGGCATCACTGGATGAATGACAACCACCTGGTCCTGGTGGTCATGGCTAAGCCAAGGCCACAGCATGGATGGTAAATGCCACCCTCTGTCCCTGAGCCACCAGGGAAAGAGGAATGGCCATGTAAACAGCTGCAACTGGATCTGAAACAGAATTGTCCCAGGAAAACTCCAGGACATTCCTTGGTTTTGTGTAATCCAGGAGAAGGCCCCATTGAACAGCCATGGGCAAATTGGCCCTGGGCATCATTTGGATGCCCATTCATCCCTGCTCTGATTCATTTGGTCCTATTTAAATGGGCCCTGTGGCACTGTTCAGACTCCTGAAAGGGTTTCAAAGAAAAGAAAATAGACAGACATGGGAAGGAGCTGTCTTGGAACTTGACAGTTTTTCAAAATCGTACCAGCTGGCACAAAGTTCCTCTATAACATCCTGTGCAGGGCAGGACAGCATCTTTTGTTTGACTTCAGATGAAAACCTCA